TGTATGGGGGCCTTAACACACTTCTGCTTCTCTATCATGCAAGTTTAAGGAAAATCACTGTATTACGGTATTGTCAAAGTTACTATCATTATTATTAGCTTTTATATTTGTATAATAATTATTATTGTCTTGGAAGATGGTGGAATCTATGCTTCCATGGTCCTGCCTAGTTTGATTATTGGTACTATTGGTGGAGGTACTGGGCTAGCTACACAAAAAGAGTGCCTGCAAATGATTGGTTGCTTTGGCCATGTGAGTATGCACAGGCAAACTCTACATACACTATTAAATGAGGATATTTTTTGAAGGGTAAAGTAGGGCGGTTTGCTGAGATCATAGCAGCTGTGTGTCTGGGGCTTGACTTATCTACAATGGCTGCTATAGGAAATGGTACCTTTGCTCTTAGTCATGAAAAGCTCGGCCGTAACAAGCCCGACCATGGACTCAAGAGTTGTCACATTAATGAAAATTTTTTTGCCAAAGTTGTGAAGGATCTTGGGAGCTTGGTATCGTGGAGCGAATTCAATGTTAGCCAATGCTTTAATAGATAGAGATATTGAGTTATTTTTTCTATTTATTAATTCTAGTTTTGATTATTGTTGTGTCTTCTTAGGTTAATACTGGGAATAGTATAATATCTGAGTTGACAAAGTCAGAAATGAAAAAGAAAGTTGGTCATTTTGGCTATAAACTCCAGTACGTGGACAGACAAGGTGAGGCAGACAGATGACCAAATGAGTTACTCCAATAAATAAAACCAGTCAGTACATGTACGGCTGTTGTGATTTCTATGAGTAATGATTGTATGTGTTTTTAGCCTTTTTGCTACTTTATACCAGACAGTCTTGATTCACTTTCTTTTGACTATTTCATCCCTTCAGCCAGTACACTGCATGCTACCGAAATTTGATTTTGACTTTGAATTTATTTTGGCGGATCTTATAAAGAGTAGACTCAAACCTGTCTGAATAACATCCTATTTGTGTTATTTTCCCCACGAGAACACCATGTCATAATTTTATTTAGTGTGCCTTGTATTTTTTATCTTAAAGAGGATGAGAAGGAACTAAAAATTGTACTGAAGTCGAAGCCCATTGATACAGAGACGTGTAACGTCATCAACAAAATGGCAGCAAACTGTGGGTTTGCATTAGCCAGTAACCACGAGAAATACAAAAAGAAAACAGGATTCAAGTACATTATATAGACAATTATATTTATTGTATATTATTATTTTAAACATGATAATAGCAATTGTCATGTCAGAGAAGTGCGACTGGCTGCACTTGATGACCCAATTCTAAAGATGCTTTCTCCTAAAGTTTATTATACAATTGATAACAAAGAGAAGGTATGTAATTTTGCTTTATTTTTTAACGACACGATTTTCACTCAATTTTAATTCTCTCTAATAGGATATTTACGTCATTGTAATGGAGTTCCTTCAAAAAGACACAAATATAACTCATTTAAATTCAGCGGATGATATATCAGACTGGAAAATAGCAGACATCAAAGTAATTGCCATAAATACAATATACGACGCCTCCTAATAAAACTATGCAGGCTGTAATGATGTACTTGATGCATGTTCTCCTTTAGGTCGTGTTGCGTGATCTAGCAAAGCTTCACTCACACTTTTATACGCAAAGGAAAGAATGGCTGGAAAGCACTTCATGGCTGGAGAGATCAGGACTTAAGGAAATGACATCTCTCATGCCACTCTGGCTTTCTCTCCTTGATCACGCTGGCTCAGAATTCCCTAGCATATGGACGCCAAAGAGGTATATGTTATGTCTGTAATTATTATTATTATTACACTGTTGCTATATTTGGTCTATCGCAGGGTGGAACTACTAAAGCTAGTCATTGAGAATATTCCTCACTTCTGGTCCAAATACTCGACAGCCCCAAAGACCCTCATACACAATGACTGCAATCCTCGTAATGTATGCATAAAGAACCCAGTAGGAGGAGTAGGGACCCTCATAGAATCCACTAGTGATACCTTTCCTTATTCTGACGCTAGAACTGCCTGTATTTATGACTGGGAGCTAGCACGTGTTGATATACCACAACACGACGTAGCAGAGTTTCTTGCTTTTACTCTACCAGTGGAGACTGATATGGGCACTAGACTAGAGCTTATTGAATTCTACAGGAAACACTTTGAATTGTATGGAGGTGTAGATTATCCTGTGAACAGGTGAGCTGACTCAACCCAATGGCATTAATTGAGTTATTTTATTTGATAGTTGAGCTAAGTGCATTAAGTATGATTTACATTGTGTATTGTTTGTATAGAACGCTAGTAATTGTTTAGTCTAGTGTCACTGAAGTGTATTAGATTTTATTATTAATTTTTAAAAGAATATGATTTTATGCTATACAAGCCATGCAATTAACATATTTGTATTGTTTTTTTTTTTAGATTTATTGATGATTATAATATCGCTGTGTTGGATTATGCCATAAATCGACTCCCGTACTACACGATGGCTCATACTTATAAAGACTATCGCTTCCTCCCTCGAGTTATAGAGTCTCACTTTGTATACATTTTCCATGCACTGGAGCCAGTCATCACTGGGAGGGCTAGGTTATGACAAGGATTATATTTAACATAAAACGTTAAAATAATGATAATATGAGCTGATTATTATTATTATTATTATTATTATTATTATTATTAATAGGTTCGAGGCAATTAAAGGTAGACCAGTCTGTAAGTGTAGACACAAGAGCTGACATAATTCCATATGTTTTCTTGCTGGAAATAAATGATTAATGCTGGTGTGTGTGTGTGTGTGTGTGTGTGTGTGTGTTTTATAAAGGCCAGTATCAGCCAGATGTACAGCCACACTCTTCAATGACTGGTACACTGTTTTCATTCATGTCAGAGTCATAGTAGTTATCCCTTGAGTATGTGGTTGGGACGCATTTTGCAGGACCACTTGGGATGTATAGGAGACATCTTGTCGGGGACCTAGCATAAGGATGCTGTTTATTTAATTGAATGTGTGAGGTTGATTTTGTATGTGTCTGGGTCTAGCGTAATGTCTGTGTTTCCATATGTGTCTATGCAATTATATGCATATCTGTCTAATAGACAAACATGGAGTTGCATAGTAAGTTTGTGTGTGTGTGATTTGACATACGGGTAGCATCTCCCTGGTAGCTCAACACCTTCACACGAGCCAACACACCTTCCAACATTAATAACCTGTTAAAGAGCAGTAGTTTGAGAATATTATTATTATTATTGTTACTTTTTGCTGCATGTGTCTAACCTTTTCTGTCTTTGTTGCAGTGACGTTGCTGCATCTTGTGTAGTTCCAGTGAGACTGATAATAGTCTTGCCTGTAACAGACCGAATTCTTACACTGGCATTTATCAATGATCGATAGTGTTACTGGTCCTAGAAAATAAAAGAGTATTGTTATGTATACAGTGTAGTATGCAGCTGATAAAGTGATACCATTTGGTCCATCAACTGCTTTTGTACTAACACTAGTTGGCACACACGAGTGGTCAGATGCTATTGTAATGGATAGACAAGAATCATAATTATACACTGGATGATTGGTCTTGTGTTATTGCAGCTAACCTTCATCGCTGCATTGCCCGCTGCATTTCTTAACGTCTACCCTCGTCTGGTATTTGGAGTCAGGAAAGAGGTAGAGGACATGGGGCTTTAGCTCACAATCTTCCAAGCAGTGATGATATGTGGGATAGCATGATCGAATTACAGGAACTCTAATTGGACCATCTCTATTGCTGGCTTCCAGATATTCACGGGATCTAGGAATGCATCTTTTTATGCACATGTGCTCATTGTTGATTCTGCAGCCTTCTTCCTATAGAAGAAAAACTTGCTAATGATCATAAATTATGCATTAGGTGGATTTGATCAATGAAGCACGCTTGCATTAAGGCATAGGTGTGTGATACACTTACTGTCTTATTGAGAAGTGTGGTGTGACATTCTCCCACATCTATTAGGAGTGGCTTCTTGGCTATATCTGTGAGGAGGCATGTAATAGTATGTGTATCAAGAAATGCAAAGAATTGCAATGATATATGCATCCACGTCAGCTTTGTATGCAAAACGGTGAAACACTATATAATGACTACAGAGGACTATTGCTCAATGTTATACAATCGGTGTCGTATGTCAATCCTGTCAGCAGGCTTTACGTCTGTGTGTCGATTGCTTACCAAATCCAAAGTGCTGAACTTTTTCTCTTCTTTCACATTGGACTTTGCATGGAATGTGTTTTGCAGCAATCATTCCTTTAATAAAGAATATATATACATATACTGACTATTAATTTCATTGCATGCACTTACCTGCAAGTATTAGAAGGAGGATGAAGGAGAGGGCCATTTTCACCATTGCATGCAGAGTCACTGATAGAATCCTCAAGCTGACAGCATGAGAGCTTCCAGTTGAATTTATACCAAATCTTCAATTGGGGAAGCCCCAACAGGTTTACAGGGCGTGACTATGTTTAGCCCTTGTAGTCTGTCTGAGATTATGAGACAAAACAACGAGACAGGGGCGCAGCTCAGCCTCAGACAATGATTGAAAGACTAAGAAATTCTAAACTTGCAAGCATCATTAATATTCATGAGCTATTAATAGTTAATTAGGTTAATTAATATTTTTATCCAATAAAATAAAAATGGACTCCGGTGGGCCAGTTATTCGGCGGATACCACAGAAGGCTGTCTTTGCCCTCCTCTTCACTCTAGTGATTCTAATCATAGTTTTACTCCTTCCCAGTAGGAATAAAAGTAGTCTAGAGACTCAAAAGGACAGTGGAATATTGACATATGGTGGTAACCAAGACGACGATGATTATAATGGGACTTACCCCCTAACCACGCCCATAAGTGAGAAACAGAGGAATTACAATAATTTTGCTCCTATGTCATTTTGACTGATAAATTTTTGGTGGTAAATGCACATACGTACTATCATATAGGAACAAATAATATTATTAAATTTAAGATTGGAGTCGTTGCAGATCAGGATAAAGATTCTAAGGTACAAGATTCATTATTATTATTATTATTGTTATTATTATTATTATTATTATTGTTATTGATATTTAGGAAAAGGATAAGGATTACACGTGGTTCTCGCTCCTAAAAAGAGGTTACTTAACTTACGATTCTATTAACAGTAAAGTTACTGTGGAATGGTTTGATGAGGTACGTTAATTATAATTTGACAGAGTTTTTTTGATGAAGTACGTTAGCTATTCTTAATACTATACAGCACTTTAATTTAATGGAGTTTTATTTTGGCGATTGATGGTCTGCAAGCGGAATCGCCAATATTAAAACCGCCAATCATTAATGTGCATGCTCAGTAATGCATAAAAATTGCCAAATTAAAAACCGCCAATCATAATTTTACAGCCAAAATAAAGCGCTATACAGTATGTATGCACACACATACTCTAGTAATATGCCCATAGCAGCATACATACATACACTTACTAATAGAATATCCTCACACACACACACACACACAGAGTGTACGTTATGCACTCACTTACCAACAGGGGTCACAAACCACACTACACAATATACACGTTTATCGAGTGAAATGAAATCAAATGATCATAAACAATCTAAATCAATAGCAGCTGTGTTTATTGTCTCCCTTGCGCACTGTAATGAGGTCGCAGATTCTGTTGCTGCCTTTTAGTATACAATTTCTTAACATCTTTGTTAGTTGTTTCTCTCTTATTCGCATCACTTGCAAACTAGTCTCATTAAAGTCTCTGGTCTATCTTTCTGTATCTTTTCTATGTCCTCTCTCTCTCTTTCTCTCTCTTTCTCTCTCTCTCTCTCTCTCTCTCTCTCTCTCTCTCTCTCTCTCTCTTATTTCTTTGTTTCATATGTACAAAGCATTCTCTTTTACCAAATCATATGAATAAATGATTTAATTTGAGACATAACATTTAATATTTTAACTTGTATTTGAAAATATTAGCTTCTTTTATTTAATTCTTGTATATTTACATGTACATGTAGCTCAAGCTATCCTCTCATATATCAGAGAAGGGACGAGGTGCAGAGCTTTCCGAACTCCTCGTTTTCAATGGGAAACTGTTAACAGTCGACGACAGATCGGGTTTAGGTAAAAATGATATTATAACTATTTAATTAAATATCTTTTGTTATCATCACCTCACACTGCGAGACATAAAGTGTCAAAGTGTAATGGAGGAGAACAAGATGACAGAGATGAGAATTATTAATGATATAATAATAATAATGATGACGATAATACTAGCGCTAGAGAGAGAGAACTTTAGATAATATTGAGTAATATTTAAAAGCACGAATTGAATCATTAGGCTATCACTTTGTTTGTGGGCACCTAATTGCCATTATATTTCTATTCAAGTTATGAAAGTTTTTATGAGCATAATAGCTATTATTTACAAATTGGTTATAATTGTTATAAACATGACACGCACACACACACACTCACTTTCTTTTTCTCTTCTACAGTATTTGAGATTAAAGGGAGTAAGCTGATACCGTGGGTTAAGTTAAACGATGGGCCAGGGAACGTTCCTAAAGGTTTTAAGGGAGAATGGATGGCACGGAAAGATCGCACGGTCTATGTGGGGGGAATAGGCAAAGAGTGGACCAATGAGAAAGGAGTAAGAGCTAATTAAGCAATGGGCTATAGTGCAGTGTGCATTGTCAGAATAACTAAGAGAGAATTTTCTCACAATGCATACAATGTACATGTATGCATGTTCTAAAATTTTATGAAAAATGACTTTAAAGTCACTTCCAATTTTTATTACATTTTCTAATGCATATTAATGTACTTATGCTGTGTAGAAAGTTTGAGCTGATTTTGACAGATAATTTTCAAGTTATGGCCTTTTTTAAAAATGAGCCAATTTCTGAAAAAGTCCCTGTACTATAGCCCATGGTTTTTTCCAAAAAATGGCTCCGGAATCACTCCCAATTTTTATTACATTTTCTGATGCATATTGATGTACCTATGCTGTGTAGAAAGTTTTGAGCTGATTCCGGCTTCAATTTTTCAAGTTATGGCCATTTTTAAAAAATGAGCCAATTTCTGAAAAAATCCCTGTACTATAGCCCATGGTTTTTTCCAAAAAATGGCTCCGGAATCACTCCAATTTTTAATTACATTTTCTGATACATATTGATGTATCTATGCTGTGTAGAAAGTTTGAGCTGATTTCGACTTCAATTTTTCAAGTTATGGCCATTTAAAAAAATGAGCCAATTTCTGAAAAAACCCCTGTACTATAGTCCATGGTTTTTTCCAAAAAATGGCTCCGGAATTACTCCAATTTTTAATTACATTTTCTGATACATATTGATGTATCTATGCTGTGTAGAAAGTTTGAGCTGATTCCGACTTCAATTTTTCAAGTTATGGCCATTTTAAAAAAATGAGCCAATTTCTGAAAAACCCCTGTACTATAGCCCATGGTTTTTTCGATAAAATGGCTCCGAAATCACTCCAATTTTTAATTACATTTTCTGATACATATTGATGTACTTATGCTGTGTAGAAAGTTTGAGCTGATTTTGACAAATAATTTTTGAGTTATGAGTATTTTAAAAAAGCTTTGTTGTTGCCAATTAATTGTAGGTGTATATAAATGATCATCCTCAATACATAAAGCAAATCACATCACAAGGTCACGTCAGCCATTGGCCCTGGGCTGTGAGGTACAAAGCATTGAAAGAGGCTGCTGGAATCAGATCACCTGGGTAATAATAAAGAAAAAGAAGAGAGAGAGAGAGAGAGAGAGAGAGAGCTAGGGGTGTGAATGTAGAAATTAATTTAGAGAAAAGTGAGACAAAATATATAAATATTAGAGAATATAAAAGGAGACGTTTATAATAATCACTTTATTTTATTTTATATTTTCAGATACCTAATACATGAGTCAGCCTGTTGGAGCACATATCATAAGAGATGGTTCTTTTTACCAAGAAGAGCCAGTCATGAGAGGTAATCCACACATGATGCTTGCATTCTTAATTGACCCTAATATTTGTACACACCAGTAAATAAAGTGACCCGCATATCTTCCTTCTTCCTTCATTCTCTCTCTCATTAGTCATTTCTGATTCCAAAAAAGCATATTTATTGAACACATGATGTTACATCATAACAACATGCATACATGTACATGTGCATGTACATCATAATCAGCAATGTATGAATAGATTCTCAGACACTTTATATAAGCATACAATACAGCCTTGTTTTCATGTAATACACTTAATCTCACGCTGAACAGAATAATTGCATGTATAATAGAGCCTTATAAAGGCCTACAATAGTAAATACCATGTAATTAGATATCTTTATCGCCCTCTCTCTCTATTACACAGTCGACTTTACACAGTGCACATGTACATAATGTGAATGCATATTTTTTTCCTTATATGGTATAGTTATAATGATGTGGACGACGAGCATAGAGGGACTAATATACTAATCACTGCCGACGAGTCATTCAATTCTATCGAGTCGAGAAAGATAACGGTAATAGCTACAACTAATAATTATAATATGTAGTAATTATTATTATTAGTGTGTAATAATTAGGAGGGAGGGAGAGTAGGTGTATTGCAAGATAATAGATACATGTATTTTATAATGATGATTTATTTGTGATAGAAATGGAATCATTACCGAGGCTTTTCTTCGTTCAAGTTCGTACCCGGTACAAGGGACAGGGTTGTTGTCGCTTTAAAGTCTGAAGAAATAAAGGGAACAGTAGCAACATGTACGCCAATAAGTGATACAATATGGCCTTAAATGCAATCAATTAGGCAATAAATGCATCGTGTACATGTACATTTTGTGCATAATAATAATGATACAGACAGGATTGGTAGTTCTTTTAGCTGGTGGTGTTAATTATGTCTCTCTGATATAGATATATTAGCGTTTGATTTGAATGGACAAATGTTATTGGAAGAAACTAAAATAGACAATTATAAGTTAGTTCAGCATTTTCTTGTCATTGTATCCTTCACCTTGACTATCTTTCTCTCACTCTCTACTTTCTTTTTTATCACAGATTTGAAGGAATTGAATTTTTATGACAAAAGAATTTATAGTTATGTGATTGTTACAAAATTCAATCGAAAAATTAATAATGATGATAATAATAAAATAATAACAACAATTTTTTAAAAGAAAAACAAAACACTATAATAATAATAATAATAATGATAACAATATGAATGTGTGGGAGGATAAACAAAGTTATTATTACCATTATATATAATAATAATAGTGTACACAACAAAGTTACAACACATACAGTCACCACTCATGAGCTAAATTGTCTGATCAAAGCTCGAACTTTAGAAGAATAAATGTTATTATTACTGCAGTTGCTGTTCACGGCCAGCGGTAGACAACTGGGCGTGTCCTTCCCTTCGCCATAGCAACAAGAACCAATACCAGTAGTGATGATCGAGATGTTAGCAGGGCGAGGTAGAGGCATCGGTTTCTTGATAGTACTGGGAGAATGAGAGGAGGAAGGGGAAGGACTGATGGGTACAAACTCTGCCGGGACGTTCACATACGTATGCTTCTTGCTTGGCTCCTTGTACTGGGGTGATTCCAATGGATCACCAGAAGTGAGGCTCCTCTTTCGATGAGAGACGTGCAACGCATCAGGGCTGCCTTGAGCTACAGGTATGAGGCTCTTTGACAGAGGGATAGGAGCAGAGACTGAGCGATGGGTTTCACCAACCAATAAAAGATTATTTGACGATAGACTAGTCTCCGGGGTGAGGGAGTCAGAGAGAGAGGACGTCACCGAGTCTTGTTTCAAGAGTCCCTGTATCTCTTCTTCAGGAGTGACAGTTTCAACGTGACCACCTCCAGAGTGCTCCATACCATTGTCTTCCTCAAGAGGATTCGATAAGGAATCTTCAGGATCGCCGAGACTAAAGTTAAGAGGAGGTGGAGCGTCTGTTTTTAAGTGGCAGACTTTGTTTTCATCTTTAGACGCATCATCAGTTGATGCAGGAGGTGATGAGAGTTTACTATTAATAGTGCCAGTTATGCTAACGTTATGATACTGTGTAGTATTCCTGAGATCATTGTTACTAGTGTCACTCACAACACTCCTTGACACTCTAGCAATGATAGGAGGAGGGCCAGACTCCACCGGCTCTGATAATGTTGTTGTTGATATCCTTGTTTCTGATGACGTCACTTTTGGTAGAGCATCATCCCCACCTGCAACAACATTTGAATTATCAAACACTGCATCAGTGGATATCATGGAGTCAGTAAACGTGTCATTAGTATCTTGTGTGCTGCTTCTTTCTTCTTTGACTGGTGTTATTATGAGTGTCTCTATGCCAGTGGCCTCAGATCTCATTAGGAGTAAGGGACGAACTTCAGTGATCTCCTCATAAGGATTGGTACCTTTCCTTTGAGACGGGGACCTACTAGGAACGTTAATATAATGATGTACAGGAGGAGGAGCAGGATCGTTTGAAGGTAGAGGAGACATGGGAACATCCAGTCCACTGCTAACTAGAGTAGTCTTCACAACCGGCTGTCTTCTCACTTCAATGTATTCGTTATCCATCTCAAGGGGCGGGGTTTTGGAATCGGAGCGAGAGAGAGACTGACGTGAGGCTGGAGGTGGGCTGACTAGAGCCGGAAGAGTTGCAGGATTTACTAGTATATATCCTTCTTCCTCTGCCATCTCCTGGGCTAGTTTCTGACCCGGTAGCTCACCGGTCTCCTTTCCACCACCGTCTACCATTTCAGACTGTAATACAGTGGCATTGGTTGACCGAGGCTCTGGTATAACAGAGTAGAGGTCTTCCATTACGAAACTGTTCCCCTGGGGTCTCATGTTAACGTAGTCATTAGGTAAATGAGGTAGAGCTCTTGAGGTGATTGGAGTGGAACTGGGAGGGAGGGAAAGGGAGGAGCGAGGGATATCATACGTATCAGAGAGCAGCGGTCGAGAAGGTGGTGGCACGTCATATAACGAGGATCGATCAGAGTCTAATAGTTCGGCATTGGACACAGGTCGACTGGAAGGAGTGTCATATATGAGAGACGAGTTTGGTCTTGAGTCAATGCTGCCGCACTCTGAGCTAGTCTCTGAGTGTGGGATATCAATGTAATTGTATTCTGCATTCCTCCTGTGATGGACAGTCTCTGATTTGTTTATGAGCGGCTCCTTGTTGTACTTCTTTATGTGTTTGATCTCTTTCTCCGTGAGGGCAGGAGACAGAGGGGGAGACTTGTCTTTCGGGGACGGGCTCTTGATGCGTTTCTCCACACTATCGTAAGAGAAGGTGAGAGTTGACGATGAAGGATTGCTTTCTTCTTTTCTCAACCTATCATAACCGCCACTGGATCCAGAGGACTTTGGTGGGATCTTCTCAGCATCTTCGTACATATGGGATGAGAGTCTAGAGGTCCTTGGAGACGTCTTAGAAGCTTTGAAGGTGGGTGTAGTCGGAGAAGGTGTTGGCCCGAAATCGAGAGAGCTGACAGAGGAAGACGAGTGAGTCCTCTGAGGTCCAAAGAAAGGATCGTCTGTGCCTAGGGATGAAGTAAATTTCTTGTTAGTAGAGAGTTTCGGTGAATTCTTAGGAGAGCCAGTACTAGATAGCCTTGAAGAGACCGAGGGAGGTCTGGAGATAGAGGAGGAGGAGGAGGGAGGGCCGGTAGAAGGAGGGATGGTCTTGGTCTCTCCTGTAATGGTCATGGTTTGATAGCCAGGCTGAGTAGGAGGAGGGAGGACATGAGAGACAGAGGGAGAGTGAGTGAGTCTGTTAGTAGGTGTGTGTGAGCCACTGCTAGGGAGAGCACCTGAGGCTTGAACCTGTGATTCACTGTGTGACCTGGAGCTACGGGGAGGCGGTTCAAAATGAGCACCTGGAGCAATAAAGGGAATACATGTAAGTCAAAATGCTTCAGTAATTCAATCAGACAAAGAGACAGACAGACAAACACACTCACCAGTATATTGTGCTAATACTTTCTGAAGTGCAACAAGGTCGTGTTCATTTACACGAAACTTGTAATCCTGGACGCCATATGGTCCACGGCGCCCTGACGTGAATCTGAAATAAATCAAATCGTGACAGTAGAAGCGACGTATCACGTCGTACGGCCACACCCCAATCTCAGAGGAACTGGCTCCTTTTATCGTGATGCTAGTCTTTTCAAATATGAGCTGACATTTTCCTGTATAAGTACCGACAGGTGTGAGTGCATCTGCTGGAATAACTATTGGAAAGAGAGTGAGAAAGAATAAACAACCAGACAATTGTTCCACGCTTTAGCATGTGCATATATGTGAAGAGCATGTATGTCCCTTTTATAGAGGGGTAGTTGACTATTATTGGTTGTATGCAATGAAAAGGAGAGTATAGTGAAAAATACAAATTTACACCTACAGTGTATAGATAATAAAGCCCCCAGTTATACAGCCCATTACACTACACTACATATACAGTGTCTATCAGTCTCCCCTATGTATACTATTGGGAGGGATAAACTAATAGTGATATTATTTACTCAGTCAAGACATAGTGAGAGAGCTAGGTCATGAATATTTTTAGACGGTGAGTAAGTTGGTCAGAGAGGCCGTACAAGCTAAAGGAAAGGGGATCAAAGTCTCATAAAATTTAATACTGGTACACTTTTGTGAGAGTCAAAACATCAAAAGTCTGTGTATAAAGTATTTGTCAGCATTACACGTATTAGGGTAACTGCTAGCATGCACATGATGTCTGATAACCAGCTGGTCAATCTGAGCAACCTCATGCTTCAAAGTAATTAACTGACATCAGAGAGGATGCAAGCTTTCTCTCTGTCTATACTTTCCCTTCTCATCTTAATATAATTTAAAGAGAATAATCAATTCAATTTCAACTCTCTTTTAATTGTTGTTCTTCATTTTCTTTATCATTACTTGTGTTGACATACATGTAGCAACAAGCTACTTTCTCTTCGCAATTATGAAACTAACACAATAATGAGGGATTTTTTTAACAACTATACATACTACTAATGAATAACTCATAACATTATCATTGCAACCTCATCATCAGCCAGCCTCCAGTAGCTATTTGCCATGCTCAAACATGCATAGCATTGAGTCACTAACAACGGATGAGTACCAGCATACATGTATAGGCGATTGTGTCATGCAAAGGGAAATATCATTACCAATTTAAAATGCTAATAGCATAATTATCAAAAAATGCGTACAGCTACAGCTAATCAATTGCATTCGCTAAAGAACAAAATAGATTTAGAAGGGAAGGGAGAGAGAGAGGGGGGGGGGGCTTGACAGTTGACAATAATTAACATTTAGATCCTTCAAGCTAAAATTAAACAATAATTTGATGCATGCAATAGCAGAATGCAAAGAACATGTGTAAAGCTCTCGTTAGCATAATGACTACAGTGTTACGCTATAATATTGTATTACAAAATGATACAGCGTACATGAATGAAATATCTGTATAGGTCATCAGTATAGGTCAAGGTATCATGGCTATAAATCTCATTCATATTTTGGGGTAAAATAATGATTTTGAGTAAGAAACAGAAACTTCAGGTCTGCCCTGATAGAGAGCATAGCATTCCAATCATTTACCACCCCACCTGAGTGGAGGCTGAGTCTCTTTGTTGCTCTTAAACAAAAGGTCATTACGAGGGACTGAGAGGGAAGGCCAAAGGCCCAGGGAATGTTTCCAGCATTGTAACCCTACACACTACAAAACAATGCTGCTAGTGCAACCAAGCGAGGGGAAGAAAGAAGGGGCAAATTCAATGTACTGTAACCCGATAACAAGTTTATTATAACGAGACGGCATGACGTTGCTCACCTTCCATGGCAGCTGGTGCGGTGGAAGTAGTAACAAATCAAGTGGAGGAGAGAGAAGCAGCCAAAGAGTGCGTCTGAGAGAGTCTAGTCAGCCAGCACAGAAAGGAGATGAATGAGAGAAACAGATGATAAAGTGCAGCGTGCGAGCTAGAGAGATGAAATTATAAAAGCTAGCAACCCTAATTGTTAGGAGGGGCTTGTAACCCATGCATGCAACTGCGTGGGAGTACAAATAGAAGGCGTGGCTTAAATAAACTAGGTGTGGTCTAAACCCACTGAATTGCGTGGGTGTATAAAGTAGGCGTGGTGTTATAATTTGTTTCTCTCTCCATACACACACATACACACACAATCTCATCTCTCTCTCTTTCCCTGCCTCCTTCTGTCTCTCTGGTGTGATGGTTTGCTGGTCTGTCTGAGAGCATCCCCTGTCGCTATACAAGAGTCGTTTGCCCCCGACCTACCAGCCTAATCTCTCTCTTTCCCGGCCAAATAGTCTCTACCCTAATATCGGCTCAATCCCATCCTCCCACCCGCCATTTACCGGGTAGTACACACATAGCTCACATAAATCAGTTGCTTTTTATTACATTTTAAAAGGTAATTCTATTACTGGTGTACTCTAGTGGTTGCCTGTGGCTAGTGTATGTGTGGTGGGCTCTAATTAGAGATATCTTTTTTTTATTTTGTTATTCTATTCTGTTGTAGATTGCCAACAGAAAGAGTGTCTTAAAATCGATGAATATGGAATCAGCTCAATTTCTCGAAGTGCACAACTCTTCTTCGAGAGAAGCAAGTTTATTTATCTAAGGCAAATTATCAATTCAGGCCACCTGTTTAGGTTCAAGCTATCCGTCAGGTTATACGATCAACAAGAACTACTCTTGATGAGTTCCAGAGATCTTTCCCTTATGGTCAGAGGACATCGCTTGTTGTTGAGGTACAGTTTATACACATAAAGAATCCTCTTTCCTTCTTTCTTTCTCTCTCTCTTTCTACTTTCCACCTTCCCCACATCCCTTTCCCTTTTCATATCCTCCTTTCATATTGTTGCCCACTCTTTCCTTCCCTTTATTCATCATCTTTCTCCCTCCCCTCCCTCTCCCTCCCCCTCTCTCTTTATACAGGAAGAGTCAGAGCTCAAGAAAAGACTAGAAGATCTAATGAGAAGAGAGAAAGAACTAAGCGGGCAAGGTTTGTGAACATAATATTATCGTACATGTACATATACATGCATATATGCAAAACTAGCTGTACGTGATGTACATGTACATGTACATGCTCCATATTAGACACTAATACTTGCATTATGTGTACATTTATAAATGTTGTCTTGTAAAGCTTATTTCATTATGTACAGTATTTTGTGTATTTTGTTTGCCCTGCGTGTTTGTGTGTGCATACATGATGATGATGATATCTGATAGCGTATTAAGTGACTAATTGTCTTTTTGTCTAATCTTTTTGTGTCGATAAATGATAATTAATAATAATAATAATAAACTGATAATTATTTTTAGCCGCAAAGAATTTTTTATTTTATAGAGGAATGCCTCTACATGCATGCATACTCGATACTAAAAATTTATTATTTAGTAGTAGCTGTAGTATATGAACACAGTGCCTATGATGTACTACTACTCAATCCTATTATTATTATTAGCACATACTCTACTTTCATACTCACTCCTATTGTCATAATCTCATACTCATACTCCCATACTCATACTCCTATACTTTCATACCGGTGCTCTCTCATCCTCATACCGATAGGCTGGGATAGTAGCGATTCTGCTGAACAGGAATTAGTCTCCAGTAGTTCTCCTGACGGCTCTGATCAATCTCCTCGTGGACCTCTCTCTCCACGGTACGTACATGTACATGTGCATGTACATATACTCAATAATTACTGATAATACATCTCTCTCTCTCTCCCTTTCTCTCTCTCTCTCTCTCTCTCTCTCTTTCTCTAGGAATCCGTTGACTGTCAGTCATTCTTATCCCCTCTCTCCAGTCCGTCACCTTCCTCCTCTTCCTCCTGTTACAGTATCTATAGAGAATGACACTGTTGCTCCTTCTTCCCCTGTTACCACTCATGCTGCTCTAATTAGAGCCCACCTTCCCGAAGGACAGAGAACTATTGTAAGATGATTATTTGCCTTTCAAGGACTATTTCTTTCTCTCTCTCTCTCTCTCTCTCTCTCTCTCTCTCTCTCTCTCTCTCTTCCCCTCTCTCTCTCTCTCTCTCTCTCTCTCTCTCTCTCTCTCTCTCTCTCTCTCTCTCTCTCTCTCTCTCTCTCTCTCTCTCTCTCTCTCTTCCCCTCTCATTTATAGGTTCCAATCAGACAAGGTGTTACAATACAAGATGCTTTAATGAAAGCAATGAAAACACGCAATCTAACGCCTAACACTTGTATTGTGTATGCAGAGAGCCCACGTTTGCTGATAGAATGGGACACAGACACTACACAATTGTCTGGGAAAGAGGTCTGGCTACATATGTCTTTGTTGTTGTGTTTATGGCATATCCCTTCCTCTCTCTCTTTCATCATTTCTTCTTTTATTTTTCTTTGCCTTCATTGATTTTCTTTTTTTGTAGGTTTTTGTTGAATATCAAAAAAGCCCAAAACTTGCATCAACCAATCATCATAACTTTGTGAGGAAAGAGAGAGAGAGAGAGTGATTAAGAGCATAACCAAAGGATTAATGAAATTATGAAAATATTTAAGTTGTATAAGCCAATGATAATTATTTTTTAAAACATCAAGGTCAGGAAGACTTTCATAGCTCTAGCGTTTTGTGACGTATGCAAGAAGCTGTTGTTTCAAGGTTTCCGCTGTGAAACCTGTGGGTTTAGATACCATCAGCGCTGCAGCCCTAGAGTCCCCATACAGTGTGGAGGAGTTGATGATGATCTGATAATGGCCTAGTAAGAGAGAGAGAGAGAGAGAAGGTGGGGAGGCAGAGGAAAGTAGGAAAGCCTTTAATGACTGTGTATATGTTTGTTAGTCTAGCCTTTGATTAGTTTGCTTTATTTTTCGTGTGTTCACAGTATATTATCACAACATCCTCCAAAACCTGACGATTCTCCACAGCCGTCCAGCCCAGTCCCTCACTCGCCTACTGTTCCTCTTCTAGGTAACACTCACTATCATCCCCTCCTGTCCTTATGCATTGTACATATATACCACTTCTGCTTGTATACGTATGTATGTATGTACATACTCCTACAGTGCACTTTAATTTATGTTTAATAGAGTTTCCTTATTAATTGTACATACTCCTACAGTGTACTTTAATTTATATATAATAGTGTTTCCTTTATTATTTGTTTCTCTCTAGTTCCTACTAAAGGAGGCGACGAGGGAGAGACTCACAGTCGATTCCTCAACACTTCATCAAGAGAGAGGTCAATCTCCACACCGAATGTCCTTTACAATTCTCCAGCTAATTATGATCCTTACCCCACCACCACTGAGGTATGCTTCCTATCTGACATCCACCTTTTATACCTAATTGGTCTAATGTGTTTGGTTTTGCTGGTTTTATGTGGTTTCTGTATATGCATACATACATACATGTACATCCATATAGGATAACAGGGAGTTCCTTGGTCCAATGCCATTCTCATCAGTCAGTGGATCGTATGTAGATAATCATTTATCGCATGTAAGTTTCAACAATAATTTTGATAAAAGCTAAAAATAAAAATGCAAGCTACAAATATCTAAATTACTGTATTATTGATATTTTAATCCCATTTTTCTTCATATCTCATCTGGTTCGTACAGTCTACAGAGTATAACAGTGTTTTTGATTACAATGTCAGTAGCAGTGGTAACTCATCGCGTGATGCTCCAATCGCTCACCCTCCCCACTCTCGGAGGGGCCTATGTGGGCGTGGTCACATCAGTACGAGTGCCCTTGAGACTAGTCATACTGGAATGGACGCTATGAGAATTGAGAGGAGAAGAAAAGGACACAAGAGACAGGTAATTGGTTATTTCCTTACCTCCCACTCTCTCTTTATTTGTCTCTCTTGTAACCTTTTTTGGAATTGTGGGACATTGTTACTATTGATTGTGTTTTTGAATGTGTAAGAATTCCCCCTCCCCCCTCTCTTTCTCACTCTCTTTTTCTCTCTCCCCCATCAGTCCAGTGCTGGTCACTTGGACTACAGTGGCGTTGAAGATTCTAAGGAAAGAAGAAACTCAACAGAAGGGCGCTCTCCAATGGAAAGAAGGTCCACTATACGTATATGTTGTATGTATTTTTATCCTTTTCCCATTGCAGGCTTCACTCTTCTTCAGAGAGACATCGTCACAGGAGTTTAGAGAGACGGAGTTCTTCGGGCGATCGGACGTCAGCGACTCCTGACAGCATGAGCCCTTCATACTCAACGGGACAGTCCCCACTGCAGACCCCCACTGGATCCAAACGTAGGCACACAGAATAACCGACTAGCCCTGAACCCTTTCCTCTTATTAAATAATCAACTTTACTCTTATTTCTGTGTCTAGCTCCATTACAGACCAGTCTAAGCAGTGGTGACAGTGGGTTGGGAGGATCAAGAAGCTCAACCAGTTACAGTAGCAGCACACTCCCTTCCCAGAGAAGAAGACAGAGGACTTCATCTGAAGACAAAAGAGCAAAGGTACATCCAACTGGGGACTAGTATAAACTTTGAATTATAAATTGTGGGCTTTGAGCTTCTTTCTATACATGTACAGCACCTCTGATTTGTGTTAATGTGCCTTTGCTTTAGTTACTACATACAGTGCAATGTTGTGCATGTATATTTTATATTCTTGCTCTACAAAAGGTGAAGTGTAAAGATAGTTCTGATGTATGGGAGATACCCTACAACGAGATAGAAGTTGGAGAGAGGATTGGGTCTGGTTCATTTGGAACTGTTTATAAAGGGAAATGGCATGGTAGGTCATGCAGAGAAGAGAATGGAGAGAGAGAGAAGATTAAAGCAAGTCATTTTCCTATCTTTAATAGGTCCTGTTGCTGTAAAGAAACTTAACGTATCAAATCCAACTGAGCAACAAATGCAGGCCTTTAAGAATGAAGTGGCAGTCTTAATGTGAGCCTATACTAAAGCATGTGCATTAGTTTTATGGCTGAGTCCTTCTAGGAAGACACGTCATGCCAACATACTCTTGTTCATGGGTTGGACTAGTAAGCCAAGACTGACCATAGTAACACAGTGGTGTGATGGGTCTACTCTGTTCAGTCATATCCACGTGTTAGAGGACAGGTTTGAGATGTACAAGATAATCGATATATGCAGGCAAACTGCTCAAGGAGTGGAGTGAGTCTATTCTTATTGCTCAATTTTATCTCTCTCTGATCAATTTCTATTTCTGTATGGTCTTTTTATTATCTTTAGTTATCTTCATGCCAAGCAGATTATTCATCGTGACCTCAAATCAAACAGTAAGCTAGCTCTCTTAATAGCACACACACATGTCCTTATGCTGTATATTAACTTTGAGCTGATTCCGATCAAATTTGGATCTTTAAATAAATTTTTTAATTGTTGCTCAAATTGCCATGTACTGTGACATATTGTAGTGCTTGTTAGCTCATGAAGCATTTTTTAGCTCACTTAGCATGCTTTGTGGGAAACCCTCCACACACACACACACACACCTTGTATTACTGTGTTACTGCTTTACTTTTCTTGAAAACTCTAGATATATTTCTGCACGATGACATGACTGTGAAGATTGGTGACTTTGGACTAGCTACAGTAAAGACAAGATGGGACGGCAATGAGAAAGTGAGACAGCCAACTGGATCTATTCTTTGGATGGTAAGCAGCAGTACACATACATGCACATGTACATGTACATGCATGTATACCTTTATTACAACTCTTTCATTGCACGCGGATTCTTGTAAATATCACTTTTAGTTTTGCATCTGTTTACTGTGTCATTTCATTAATTGTATATTGATTGAGTCATTGCTCGATTATTCTATTGCAATTTCTGAAACAATGTTAACAGCATAACTCATCATTGTTACAATGTCATTTGACACTGTGTCTGAATCCTATTGTGGAATTGAAACGGAGTCATCGAATGTCATGTGATACTGTGTGACCTTTTGCTTTACACGTTAGCATTGTACATTGATTGAGGAGCATGATGGACAAGGGAATAAAATTGAGAAGGGAAATAATATTTTCAGTATTTTGGTAACTTAAAAGCTTTTAGCCAGTATAAACTTATGCATGTATATGTATCAGAAAATTTAATCAAATCTGGAAAAATACTTATTTTATTATCCCGTAGCTATTAGAAGTGTTCTCTTTTATAATATTAGGCACCCGAAGTAATAAGAATGGAAGAACCCGATCCATACACGTTCTATTGTGACGTATATTCATTTGGAGTCGTCGTGTATGAATTAATATCCGGACAACTCCCTTATCCTCACGTCCAGGACAGGGATCAGGTTAACTCAATCTGCCTTGATTTTATTCAGCATTCTCTCTCTCTCCCTCTATTAGATTCTCTTTATGGTTGGGCGAGGCTTCTTGAGGCCCGATCCGTCCAGCGCAAGGAAGGACACTCCGAAATCTTTCAAGCAATTGTGTATCAAGTGCTGTCAGTTCGAGAAAGATGACAGACCACTCTTTCATCAAGTATATAATAATGCACTGTAATTTCATATCTATGGCAAGCCTGTGTTGTTTTTGTACTATGTGAACAGTATTTTCTTCCGTTATGATTAGAACTTAGCAGTGTTCATGCATGAGGAATTTAATGTGTACATGAAAGTGCTTTGAATGCTGCATGTGATTATGATGTACTTTTTATCCTATTGCCCTCTATAGATCTTGGCTGACTTGGAGTCATTGTCTGATAGCATGCCTAAAATCAAGAGGAGTAATTCGGAGCCGACAACTTTATGCTATGCCGGCCTCTCGTATCAAGAGGAGCTAAACAAATCGCCACACACACCATCGCACAACAGCAGTGCCACTGGGGCAGAGTCTGCCTTTCATCTAGTAAAGCAATGAAATACTCATCATGCCAATATGATGGAATGGAATTACAAAACAAATGGGATAGTGTATGCATGCACTGAAGTACAACTGAGAATTAATTTTTTTCATCGATTATTATTATTAATACTTATTTTTGATATTGTTGTTATTTTAATTATTATTGAATTTTTTTGCTTTTTTTACTGTAACAATTTTTTTACTGTGACTCGGTCATAGCCTGTGAGTTTAGGTCCTTTGAAATTTTACTACTGTGCGCTGCGTGTAATGCTTGTACTATCTAATAGTAGATTCATGCATGGTAGATCTACATTTTTAAAAATTAATAATAGATTATTTTTGGCCGACTAATTATTAGTGCACGTGCGTTCACGTGATCGTAATCTTTTTATCATGGCGAATTGCTGTGTCAATGTTGCCATAGATACATGCTGTCAGAAAGATGCTGTACGAGAAGTTCAACATAGTCGATCTAGTTTGAGCTAAAGCAGTATCAGACAGGTAAAATGAATAAAATAGTAATGGTGCGTTACGGGAGTTTAATTTTCTTAGACAAAGTCCAGGTCACTCCTGAATACTATGCCAGTCTCAGTGTTAGTGTTGTTTGGTATCTTGTTGAGTGTCAGTGAAGTTATTAGTCAATGTCCACCTTCCTCAGGTAAGACACTGGATGTGTATAATAACAACTGTATAGGTTTTATAGGCATCTACCTAATACATAATGGAACTTGTTATACTAATGGATCATATTTTTATGATGCTAGTATCATATCAACTCCTCTAGAGTGTGTATTACCTGGTGCTAATCTTAACAGTGGGCAATGGATTGGTCCTAATGGAACAGTTCCTTGTGACAGTGGTAACAGATCAAATGTTCAATGTACTAGTGGGTCCTCAGGAGCTAGTCTCAGTGTTCATGTAATTGACACTAATAATGACTATCTTCTACCACCTGGTGATGGCTGGTACAAGTGTTGTCTACCCACTGATTGTTCAGATCCTAACACTAACATCATCTTTGCTAATATATTCAGTAAGAGGAGACTATAATCACTTACTGATGTAATAATTTTTATTTGTAGGATATGCACAGATAGCATCATTTACTGCTGATCTTCCTTCTGATATGACAGTATATCCTCAGGAATACAAACTGAATTGTACTAAAATTGGATTCAACGAGTATGGTATTAGTATGAGCATTGGTGATACTACACTGGCTAGTTACACTAATTGTGATGATGATAATAGCTCTAATACTTGTCCTGGTACCGAGTTAGTTAGTAGTATCAGTAACACAATAAGATATACTGTTGATATCACATGGGATGGAGTGACTGTCAGTAGTGGATCAGCCAGTCACTCAGAAACCATTGGAGATCAAATGTATCAGTGTGTACTGGATAATCCTAGTAATGGTGATGATAGAACACGTACTTTAACCATTAAAGGTAGTGACAAAGCATGATAATTTATAATAATCAATGACTCTATTAGTACCAATAATTGCTCCCCATTATCTTACTGAGGTCAGAAAGACAAATGCCACTATCACTGTCGGCTGGTTTGCGTTTGATTCATCTGATGCTGATGGATATGTAGTCAATATCACTAGTGACACAGGCACTGTGCAGATAGTACAGGTGAAGGGAAATAGTAATAATACAATCACACTGAATGGACTGAGAGAACTAACAACTTATAGCATCACTGTCAGAGCCTATCAACAATTACTGGGACCTGCTAGTAATGCAATTATTATACGGACCTTACCCACAGGTATACATGTGTATCCTACCTTTTAATGTACATTACTTTTGTTTTTCTAGTTATTACTTCAAACCTAGATGCTGCTTTGATTGTTGATATTACTGGATCATTTGTAATACTGATACTTTTTATTAATGTTATGATGTTCATCGTAATGCAGTATGACTGTCACACATTCATCTCATCTTGTTAACTGTTTAATTTTGTAGATACAAAGTGTATGTAAAGAATAACGAGCTTAAAGACGACATTTTCACAGAAGAGCTTTTAGGTATTATAGTTTTGTCGTAGCTCTGAAAAACCATATTATCATTGTGTTATTCCTTTAGACAGCTTTGATGATGATGAATATGAGGATGAGCAATGTAATGTGATACTTATTTTTTTATCATGTATTTTATTTATTTTATGTACAATTGTAGCTTTCACTTCTGGGACTTCGTCAAGTTTTGAAAATGGTCCCAAGCCTTTTTCCTATGGCAATCCAATTCAGAACTTTAATCGGCAAAAATACCTCAAAAAAACACCCTCACGTACTGCACATGATGATCCTGACTTTGAATTTCCTGTGCTTACATCGCTACCTATATCAATAAATGACTTGGTTAATCACATAGCCAAGTACAGCAATAAATTTGAAGACCAATATTTAGTGAGTGTGTATTATTATAATGATTTACTTGTATTTGTTATTATACAGAGGCTTTATACTGGTAATGATAGACCATGTACTGTGGGATATACGGATGAGAATAAATATCTTAACAGATTTCAGCAAATAACAGTTTGTATGTTGAAAATAAACTGATTGTAAATTAATTTGTTTCGTGTCATTTATAGATGATGATAACAGGATAATACTGACTCCTAATCCTAACTTGTATATGTGTGAAAGAGAATATATTAATGCCAGCTATATTGATGTAAGTTTAATTTTATATTGAATTATTAATATCAGTATAATGATTACCGTGTAGGGATACAGTAGCAGTAACAAGTTTATAGCAACACAAGGTACATTTACATGTTAAATAATGTGCATTTATTTATATATGTAATTATTACATTAGGCCCAATGGTGAACACATTAGCTGATTTCTGGCGTCTTATATGGCAGGAGAGGCCAATGCATATTGTGATGCTAACTGACCCAAAGGAATGCATTAAAAACAAATGGTGTGAGCAGTACTGGCCTAGAGCTTTAATGGAAGAGGAAAAGTTTGGACCATTTATTGTTACATTGACCAATGTGGCAAATCATCCTAGCTTTACCATTCGTAGCCTTAATGTTATAGTAAGTAAGATGGCAATGAATACTAACTTTAACCCAATGCAATAAAGATACCAGATGGATCCAATGATAGTCATACACTGACTCAGTATCATTTAACCTCATGGCCTGATCATGGAGTACCCAAACCATTGTTGTCTCTTCACAAACAAGTCATGGCTACTTGGTCTCCTTCTGAAGGTCCCATCCTGGTCCACTGTAGTGCTGGTGTAGGTCGTACTGGTACATTTATTGCTATAGACATAGCTCTGGAACAAGCTGACAGAGAGGGAGTAGTAGATATTGCTGGTATTGTTAATAGACTGAGACAACAGAGAATGAAGATGGTTCAGACACTAGTAAGGACATGAGTACATACATTCATTCATTTATATTAACATTGTATAGGATCAGTATGTGTTTCTACATGATGCTGTTTTCTCAGAGACAATCATTGGTGGAGAGACAGAGATACCAGCTGATAAATTTGCAACAAAGCTTCAGGAGTTAAAGGAGATTGATTCATCAACTGGTTGTTCTGGCCTACAGTCTCAGTTTGAGCTACTCTCTCAAGTGACTCCTGATCTTGATGATGCTACTGAGGATAATGCTGGAGAAGATTTAGGTAACAACACTTACCTACCACATATAAGTAGATAGTACATTGACTAGTAATCAATTGCATTGAATTGTACTATCATTAATTTTATAGCAAAGAATCAAGGAAGCAATTCATATACCAATCCATCATTCACTGCTGTTAGTTCTCAGTGCATATTTATGTTAATTGAATGCAAATGATTGCAGGGTTATCATGACAAGAAAGCATTCATCATAGCTCAGAGCCCTATGGAGAACACTGCCAGAGACTTCTGGAAGATGATAGTGGACTATAAAGTGTCTGCTATTGTCATGCTCTGTGGAGAAGAGGTAAATATTCCAAATGACATGTGCATGTGCTTATAACACTGTAGGATTGCTGCTATCCATATTGGACTGGTCTAAGCACACATGATGACTTTGTTGTAGAAATTGCCAATGAAATAAAATCAAATGGTTACATAGAAAGAATGCTTAATGTGGAAAGCAGAAATGTATTGCAGTTGCAAGTGACAGATTGGCCTCAAGATGGAGTTGTTAGGGAACCACGTACTGTCCTACAAGTTATTGATGATGTTATACACAGACAACAAAAGATTGGAGGAGGACCAGTAGTGGTACACTGTAGGTAAGAGAGAGAGTTATACTGATAGACTAATGATGAGTAATTGATTATTGTGTGTGTGTGTAGTGATACAGTGAGTCGTTCAGGAGTGTATTGTTCAGTGAGTATTGGTCTAGAACAGTGTAAGGCAGAAGGTGTAGTGGATGTGTTTCAAGTGACTAAAGCTGTGAGAAAGAGTAAACCAGGAGCTGTGACTACACTGGTATATACTAGATATAAGAGTGGGTACTAGTGTATTAATGATATTATGTCTTTACAGGAGCAGTATACTTCCATATATGATGTGATTGACATGTACCTTCAAATGAACAAAGCAGATGATGATACATTTCAGTAGATCTCTTAGGCCATGGTTTATTTGTTACTATCATTTCTAGCTATTAATGATTAGAATAATTATTATCAATAATAACAACAACAACAATAATAAAAAATTATTATTATTTCAAAATTTAAATTATAAAGGTGTGGCTCAAAGGGTGTGGTTAATAAATTTGTAATGCAAAGAGTTGTATATTCCTGTCCTTATACTTTTATTGCCAGGTCATCAAGGCTCCTCATGACTGAAGTAAATCTATTGGGTAGATGCATATGAAATATTGACATGCTTTTTTCATTAATTTTGAATTTACTATAGTCTGTACAAGCTGGACCAGTTCAAGCCACCATTGAACAGAAATTGAATGAAAGCATGAAGGTGATTGTTTATTAGAAGGGATAAAACAATTTGCTTCAAACTTTGGCCTAAGACCTGGGCTATAGTTCAGGGTATTTCAAGAAAAATGGCATTCTCAATTTTTATAATTATTTCTTATATCATGTATAAAGTTTAAGGTGATTTTGATTACATTAATTTTTTACGAATTTTTAAGGTTGCTCAAAAATTGGGCTGAAATCCCTGTACTATAACAGGGACTTTGGTCAAATTTCACCAAAAATGGATAGGAGAGAATTCTCCATTTTAATAATGTTTTTTGATACACATACATGTTCTTATGTTGTGTAGCAAGTTTGAATTGATTCCGATGATAATTGGATTTTTTTACAAATTTTTAAAGTCACTCAAAAATTGGGCCAAACTCCCTGTACTATAGTACAGGGACTTTGGTCAATTTCACCAAAAATGAATAGGAGAGGATTCTCCATTTTAATAATGTTTTTTAAATACACATACATGTTCTTATGTCATGTAGCAAGTTTGAGTTGATTCCAATCGTAATTGGATTTTTTACAAATTTTTAAAGTTACTCAAAAATTGGGCCAAAATCCCTGTACTATAGTTTGGTCAAATTTCACCAAAAATGGATAGGAGAGGATTCTCCATTTTAATAATGTTTTTTTTATACATATACATGTTCTTATGTTGTGTAGCAAGTTTGAGTTGATTCCAATCGTAATTGGATTTTTTTACAAATTTTTAAAGTTACTCAAAAATTAGGCCAAAATCCCTGTACTATAGTACAGGGACTTTCACCAAAAATGGATAGGAGAGGATTCTCCATTTTAATAATGTTTTTTGATACACATACATGTTCTTATGTTGTGTAGCAAGTTTGAGTTGATTCCAATTGTAATTGGATTTTTTACAAATTTTTAAAGTTACTCAAAAATTGGGCCAAAATCCCTGTACTATAATAGTACAGGGACTTTGGTCAAATTTTACCAAAAATGAATAGGAGAGAATTCTCCATTTTAATGTTTTTTGATACACATACATGTTCTTATGTTGTGTAGCAAGTTTGAGTTGATTCCAATCGCAATTGGGATTTTTACAAATTTTTAAAGTTACTCAAAAATTGGGCCAAAATCCCTGTACTATAGTACAGGGATTTTAGTCAAATTTTACCAAAAATGGATAGGAGAGAATTCTCCATTTTAATAATGTTTTTTGATACACATACATGTTCTTATGTTGTGTAGCAAGTTTGAGTTGATTCCGATCGAAATTTGATTTTTTAAAATGAATTTTGCTAGTGATACTGTTGCATTTCTTTCTTGTCTAGCCTCAGTACTTAAAGGTTATCAATGAAAGCTATAAACACGCAGTACCCAAAGGTACCAAGTACACATAATTAGTGATTGATTACTGAGTAGCATGATATTTTTAGGATCGGAAACGCATTTCAATATTATAGTTGTATCTGAGAAGTTTGAATCAATGCCTTTACTACAGGTGTGATTAGATCTATGAAAGTCTCATAAAATTAATGTAAAAATAATTTTATTTCAGAGACACAGATTGATCAATTCGATATTGGAGCATGAACTACAGACTGGCGTTCATGCACTAAGCATACAGGTATGAGAGAGAGAGAGAGAGAGGAATTGATTTTTCTGAAATCAATGCTTGAATCTATTATTATTATTAATATTATTATAATATTTAGGCTAGGACTGTCGTTCAATGGAAGGAAAGTGGAGGAAAAATACAAGCGACTCCGCCTTGTAACTTTAAGAAATAATTACCAGATTATATTACATTTATTACTCTAGTTGGTCATACCAAGAATTGTAAATAGATTTTTTACTCTTCGTTACTAATGATTTGTTAATTACCCTGCCCACGCTATTGCCATAATGCGCCCACGTGCTTTGATGAGTCCGTATTGTTTCTTTTTATGATGGCAAAAAGGAATATTAGAAGAATTAAAGAATGTGAACTGACATCATATCACACAATAATAGGCAAAGGACAGTAATAATAAAGGCACACATACAACACAGAGAGTGAACAGAAAGAGAGAGAGAAAAAGAACAGAAAAAGGAAGACTAGCACCTTTTGGAAAGACACGCTTCTGCTGTGTACTCCCGTATAGTCTACATGTATTGCCCCGAGGCGAAGGACTAGGAATCCCCTGATGATGGAGTCAACCACTGCCTCGCCATCGACATCAAGAGTCAACCGCTCGGAGAGTCTCCGCAAGCGACCACACGATCAGAGCAGCAGCAGCTCCGGAGAACTGTCTCTGCCTACGAAATTCAAGCCATCGTGAGTACTGAAAAAACACACACACGTTATATAGTAGAGGAGATGGGTGAAATTGTATAAACTACTAGTATATACAACAGTACAGTGTTTTAAATATTGTGAATGGTTGGAGGTTTTCTCCTCTCTACATGAGACAAATTTCACATATTATCGACTTCGTTCATTTTTAAAGTGTCTTGAGCCACTAGAGTCTTGCATACAAGAGTCTCAGTGGCCCATTGGAATGAGCCTTTGTCTTGAACAATCCTTAATCAAGGGATGTAGTCTGTGTATTCCATTCATCTCTGTTTTGCAAAGGGTTTGCACAATATCCATATCAATTTGGATGAATATGCTGTTGACTGCCGAGGAATTCCAGTCATTTCATACTGTGCATTCCTCACCTACCAAGCAAAAATACTCCCAGTTTTGCTTCCCTGATTGACCTGGTTGTGTAAATTGCTAATTAGCAAGTTTTACGCATAGCCAATGGGCCAATGCTCTCTCACTGCCCCTCCTCTCCAACTATCCCTTATAATCAAAGCCTTTCTCTCCTTATCTCATTGTTATTATTATTATTGCTCTCTGCCTTTTTTGTGACCTGTGATTGATAACTGTGTTTCGGGTGAGTGGGCTGGACGTTTGTCTTTTGCTAAATAAACGTTGACTTGTTGCAGTTTAAGGATTTGTTTTCTCTTTTATTAGCCCAATGAGGTTACGATTAGTGACACTTGGCAGACGCACATACACACACACGCACACACACACACACACACTCACACACACACACACACACATGTGTTACAATGTTATTATATTCCATTGTATGTTACTAAACAAGAATAACATTGAAAATAATTACAATTATTGTCTGGTCTTAATTTGATTATTATTATTATTATTATTATGATTGCAATTACCCATGTGTGTATGTGTGTATGTGTGTATACGTGTGCATAGATAGCTGTATGTAAGCGTCTGGAGTATTTTTATTAAATTATTTCAAAATGAAATTAATGCCAACCAAAATAAATGACGTATATATTATTATATTTCGCGCACATGTGAGCAAAATAAGGGAAATTTAATTACTGCCTTTTGCACAAACAGACCCTGAAAATAACGATTGAGCAATAATATTTTTATGATGCCAAGAGCTACACCTGTGCTAATTCAATACTGTGTTCCTGATCCTCTCTACAGTATACTTATAACTGTGTATTCGTATCCTTAATCTGTTCCTTACTGTAATTTTGTAGTAATCATTGTCTTTAGAACTAGAAGGAGTTACTCCACCTGCTCTAATCTGGAGTTTCCTTTTCGAGTTATAGTGTGCCCTCTATAAACAGGATGGCTCTGCTTTTAAAACTGCATGATTTCCCCCCACAGGCTCTGACACTCCTTGTCACTCTGTGTGATTATAATCAAGTTATAGGATGAATATTCCCTAACTGTTTTAATTTTATCTGTTATGCATACAACAGTTGTAATAATAATAATAACTAGCATGATGATGATGATGATGATGATGATAGTGATTCATTGCCTTGTAAGGCTATTGACTGTGTGACAGATCCCATCATGAGTGGGTGAATGTGAGAAATGGAGAGAGCAAGGGAAAGCACATGACAGTAATCTAATTTTCTCTCTCTCTCTCTTTATAGTGGAACCTCTGATTTAGTAGCCATGGATTTGTGCACTGCTGAATTTGTGATGGAGCAGAGGGTACAAGACGTAGAGGAGCACTTCAGAAGAAGTCTGCTCTCATTGCAACAGCAAAAGCAGCAGCAACAACAAGTTACCCAATCAACACCAACTACTGGCAGCTTACCGCTAGCAACCAGCTCGGTAACTAGTAATGGAGTACTCTCACTGAGGAGTATCAAAAAGACTCAAGAAGATCACGAACCTCATCAAATACTGATAGCTGAAAACTCTTCCACTTCGTCGTCTCCAACATCATTAACGATACATCCGTTGGGAGGGGCAGGAGTAGGAGGAGCCAGTCAGACTGTGCTTACTTCACAGAATAATGTACAGTTTATTGTCACTTCCACACCCTCTAATAACATAATGACCGCCGCCGCCCCTTTGGCTACTAACGGGCCTACACTCATATCAGCTTTACCGGGTGGAGCTGCTTTTAATCAGCCCATCTTTCTGAATATACCCTCTGCCACAAATGACAAATCTGAAGGTGAGGGAGAGAGGGAAAGGGTATATTTATGTAGAAAAAATTGAGATTACAATAATTTCATTATTTCTCCTGCACAGGTGCAGCAACTCAAGTAATAACATCTCCTGGTATTGCTCAGAAGTCGGGCCCTACTAGTGTGATGCTGCCTACATTTCAAGGGGTGATACCCACTCTAGCTCCTCCCCAGCTTATACCATTAGTGGATAATGGAGGGACGCTCCCTCAGATAATCCCCACGGTCACGTCTAATACTCCACACACGCCAATATCTGGTGCATCCCCTGTGTTCTATGTGGGACCTAATGGAGTACCAATGCTGGCTCAATCAGGCCTTGTCTTCATGAACCCAACCGATATGACAAGATCAACAATCACGCTTCCTCCACAGTCACACATTCCGCCTGCCTCAACCTCTTCAGCCCTCCCAGTCTCCTCTCATCAGTCTCCAGCTGTCCCTCCTCCCTCTCTCCCTCCTAATTATATCATCATACCCTCTCCTTTCACTAATCCTGTTAACTATAGTTTGGCGTCTCTGGAACAAATGGCACAGCTACAACAACAAGCTCAGCAGCAGCAGCAGCAACAGCAACAGCAGCAGCATCAAGGCTCTTCAAAGAAGGACTCCGGGTCGAGTAAGACTCACCATCGTATCAAGCAAAAGGTCAACATTGATCTTACAAGCACGGCGACCTCTGCTACACCAGAAGACAGGATATCTGTGGGAGGTAGTTTAAGTTCAATGGAAGATCTCTCAGATGCTAACAAGGAAGTTATGTCCTCTGGTATTCACGGAAGTATAGATAGCGTAGAGGAGCACTTTGCCCGTGCTCTTGGTGAACAATGGACTCAAGTTAAAAAGGCTGGTATTGCTGGTAGTCCCGGTGGCGGTGGGACCCAGGGCAAAATAACTGCTTGATTTTAAGTGAAGAGGTTTCGTTTTTTGTGACTCTGTGTGAGTTCGTGCGGCAATAAAGTTTCTGTAAATATTCTATCACATCTTAATGTCATCCTTCTTTGTGTATTGCATTATTATCTCATAGTCCTAGCTTTATTATTATTATCATTAATATTATTATCATTATCTGATAGATCTTATTGTGGCTGATATACAAATGCAGGCTACCCACTGCAAGAACTCTCATACACACACACACACGCACGCATACACATTTGCATGCATAATACATTCATACAGATGTATGGATACATTTTAATACTAAAGTTGTTTTAGAACTATTTCAGTCTCTCTCTCTCTCTCATTTATTCTAACACAATAGCACTTGTATTTCCCTCTCATTTCTTAAATATTAAACAATGAGCATTCATATCTCATTTTGTGCCTTATTATTATTATTATTATTGTTATAATTCTATTGTTATCTTGTTGTGTATTGTATATGCACACATGATTGTTATCATTATATTGTACAACACTATCAACTTATTATTCAATCAAAAGATACTTGAAATTATTCGATCCACGTAGCACAACACATGCAAATGTAACACTGCAGTTACCTATATTAAAACACTAAGTCAGTACTAGCTATACTTTATACTGTCGGTATCATATAGAGTTGAATTTGATTATGAAAATCTAATAAAACAGAATATTCAAAACCAAAAATAATAAATTGTTTTGTGCAGAATTATTATAACAATATCTATTGAGAGGCAGTGAGTGAGGTTAGGGTTATTGACAATGAGAGCTGGTTAAGGACACCTTTACATGATGACATATTCTATTGAACATTTCCCTATCTTCATTCATCATCAATTAACTGTACATAAAGAGTATGTCTGGGATAAAGTCCTGCTTGTCTGAAGGTTGTGTCCCGTGGCAAAAGGGATACGACTCTACGGGGGAAGGTTGTGATGACTTCATATTGACTCAAAGAGATACCTTCTTCGTTTAAATACGTGAAAAGATCCTAAAGAAGGAGAAAAAGGAGGGAGAGGGTGAGAGCAATAAAGAGAGAGAGATTGGAAGACATACTCTGATTGGATTGTCTAATCTGAAGCTTTTGAGTGTTCTCCGACCATCAGGGCACCTGATCAATAACGTACACATCTCTACCAACACAGCTGCTCCTTCTCCAGAAGGTCCCTTCTCCCCTCCATCAATATCATGATTGTCATGTATGTGAACGGTCAGTGATGATGGAGGTAACGATGCTAAGTGAGTGCTAGTCCTTGTTGCAGTATCATTACTAAGACAGAGTTGCTTTGTGGGTGGTAGGAGTCCGGCAGTAAGGTCTGTCTCCATGTTTCCATCATACTGACTCTCATCTCTCTTTCTCTTATGTCTGCTTGTCGAGGGCTGTTGGTTATTAGTTATATTTACAATACATAACGAGTCACCCTCCCCACCAGCTGTGCTCCTCTCTTTTCCCTCTCCTGTCTCATTCTCACACTGGTCGCTGTCAGTCCCGGGCGACCATAAGTGATCACTATCGCTGTCCAGTGTAATGAGACCAGAGTCTTTGGTCTGTTCCTTCATGGAGGCTCTAATGGCCGCTTCAATCTGCTCCTTCTCTGACTGATCGTAGATTGATGATTTCTAGAGAAATAGTTGAAAGGGAAAAAAGAGAGAGAGAGAGAGATAAGAAAGAGAGTGTGTGTGTAATATGATACTGCTATATAGTAGTACTGATAGCTTGTTTGATAAAATATGTAAGGGAATACATCATGTACTGTACATCAATGATGCCAAAACATACACATACAGTACATGTACATGTACATCAACAATTGTATGTACATGTACATGTGTGCATACAAAAATTTATTATAAACAAATGTATAGCCATGTATATATGTACATGCAGATGTACATGTACACTGTACCTTTGCATTTGGTGACTTGTGGTTGTTTTTCAAAGAGTTGAAGGCAAGGAATTCTTGAACTACATGTACACAAAAATACACATGCACATATACATGTAATTAAAAATAGCGTGTAGAGTAGTACATGTCATTAATGGACAGTACATGTACTATGACTCTGAGAGGTGATACCTTCATTAAGGAAGCTGGAGACAGTCAAGTCTTGTAAGTTTACCATTTTCTCACCTTTAAAGGATAACAATCACAATACCAGTGAGAAATACAAGAGAGAGAGGGAGAGGGAGAGAGAGGACATAAATTAAGTAAGGTCATGCATGCATGCGTGTGTGTGTGTGTGAGAGAGAGGGGGCATTATAACACATGTACATTATACACAAAGTAATTTATAATACGAGTTACACCATACCACACCTGCACACACACACACACACACTACACTACACAATGAACACAGAATCCACACTAAAACACGATAACATGCAGTGAGTGACTGCAAGTGAAGCGAGAGTGCTCAGTCAGTGAATGTGAGGCCCTTCCCATACAGGAATGAATGCATTGTGCATTGTGCATGTACATTGTATCAGGATGGACAATACTGGCAGTGACTGCCTCTATGAATGAACATCTATTACCACAATGATCCAATTGATATTCACAATGAACAAGAAGCATAAAAGTTCACTCCTGATATATATGTACATGTACATGTATATGTAGCAATACAACAACCAAGAGATAAAGTACATGTACATGTACTGTATATCATAAATGGATTTGACTGTATTACTATTATAAGTGAGATGTACATGTGAGGTATGTAGATGTATGTGAGATGGTTTTCCTCAAAAATGGGACAATAGATGCACAAACCACAAAGTCAAGCCCTTTCTGTGTAACTTAATAGAGATAGTCATCTCCACCTCAAACCACACGCAAACCATACAAGGGGATTTTGAATTTCATAGAGTAAGAGAGAAAACCATTTTAAAACACAGTCACACACATAATTATTGCACTAAATCAATTAACAGATATTATGCAGAAGCAGACCTGTTCTAGGATCAATGATAAGGACAGTGGGAAATGTATCGACACCATATAACTGCTGGAATTTACTACCATCATCAGTTATACGCTGAATCTAGAGAGAGAGAGGGGGAGAGAAGGAGAGAGAGCAGATAAATGAAAAATATACAAGTAAATCAAGTACATTATGTGATTGAATAGCATAATAAACATATTTTGTAGTTGACTCAATTGCATTCCACAAACAAGACACTGTTGATAATACAATGATTTAATTCCACAATGGGCCAATACTTGTAGTATGTGCATACATGTACATGTACATACAAATTGAAATATAGCTAAAATAATAATAATAATGATAATATTTATTTAGTTGTCTGCTATAAAAATAGAAATAAATAAAGGATTGGTCACTATTATATCAATCACCAATTAGATCTACAATACATGTGATAGATATGTACATGTAGATGTACATGCACTAGCTGACATGACAGGCAACAAACACAACTACTAATTGCTATTATTATCACTAACAGGAAAGCATACATGTACACATGTTCACACCTCAAACACAAACACGAGATGTACATATACATGTGAATGTACATGTATGTACATGTATATGTACATGCATAGCAAAAACCTCATTCCAAAAAGGAGAAGCCTGATTATACATGTACATGTACAAGTAGGTTTCGTACCCTCGTTACTAGAGCTATTAGCTATATACATGTAGTATAGACAAACAATGCAC